GGAAAGTTGAATAGTGATGAGGACTCAGACTATTCCCAGGTATTTCAGCACATCTTCTAAGGATCCTAATGCTGTCTGAATATGGAAATTTTCTCTAAGTCCTCCAAAGTGGTAAGATCCAAAGGATATCATTTATTTCCCTTGACAAGGCCCCCTGAGCTCCAATATTCTGTGAGCTCAAGAGCTGGCAAAGGGCAGCTGGGCCCAGCCCCATTGTCCCTGGGTTCTTTTTTGCTGAGCTATTTGTTCCAAGTTCCATTCTGCTACCTAGGCTGGAAATTCCACACATGCTCAGCTCAAAGGAATGCAGCTCATGCTGGCCACAGAGCTTGCCAGGAAATGAGGAGCAACTTTTCATTTGTGGCTTCATTTCACTTGTGGCTTCCTCTCTCACAGCTGTGAGGCAGACTATGCTACTGCCTGAGCTGTTCCACCAGCCTTTTTTAATCGGAGAGTGAGTACTTTCAGGTCACCTCCTCTGGGGAGCCTCTTGTCAACTTCTGCAATCAGCCTGGTTCCTAACCTTTAAAGGCTCAGAGACCTTTCATTTGGTATGGTATATAATGACTTCCTGATATTTCCATGTTTTGTTTAACCTCTTCATTTATTTATTCATTCATAAAACTCTTTCATTAGTGTAAGACATCTATTTAGTGAGCACCTACTGTATGCCAGGCCTTATGATAGGAGTTAAGGATTAGTAAATCAGACATAGGCCCTACCCTCACAGAACTTATTGTATGGTAAACTGGTAGCTAGAAGCAGACGCACAAGGATAAATACAATTATAGCACAATGAAAATCATTGCAGGTAGGAATGGTGTACATCACACAGGTGTTTGAGTGATGTTTGTAAAATGTCAAATATCTCCATTAGTCCCCAGTTTTCTACATTCACAGGGGAATGCACAAACCATGGACTATCTAAAAGTGTTCCTTAAAATTCTTCCTTTTTGGCTTCAGAACACATACTCTGTCATGCGTAACAAAGAATTGACCTCCCTCAAGTCTCTCCTTTATTTATCCCCGACATTAAGGCTCTAGCTGGAGGATGAGTGGACAGCAAGAGGAACAAGGGCACAGACACCAGTGGCTGCCCAGAGAAGCTGGTTTCCCAAAAGAGGTAAAGAGCTGCCATGCCTGACCCCCACAACACGCACCTACCACTATGGCTTGCAAAAGAGAGTTAGACTTATTAAGCCTGTCCTTAATGTATCTGGTCCACTGGTAGATGAACCACATGAAGTTGCTGCTGTTTAACTGCTTTTGACCTGCCAAAATTGCAGCTTTATATGGTTCAACTTAATATATCTGAAAATAGACTATCAAAAATTCCATAAATAAATGAACTTGGGAACAATCACCCCCCGCCCCCCATCAAGATGACCTTCCTGACTTAATCTTGGGTGGGAGGGGCAGGTTTGAAATGTGATGATAACTGAATGATCGGCAACCTAATCAACTGTGTTGTATGAAGAATACATGAAATAAGAATGAGAGATGAGGATGGAGGATAGAAAGAAGAAAAAAGGAGTACGGTAAAGCCAAGAGGCCAGAAGTCAACACTTGTTACCCACCACTGTCTGGGAGAAAGCAACTTGAAATTGGATCTAACACAGATGTGCCTAGCTATGGAATGGAGATGACTCACTAATCTCCACCCTGACTTGGATGAATCTGCCACCCTTAACTCCTGGGATACACTCACCAGCTAGCCTGCTGATGACTCATTTGGTCCCCTAGGGTTGCTGATATTGGGAAAAGGGTGCCTCAGTTGACAGAGAAACATTGCAGTTACAGAAGGGCTAACATCAACTGTTAATGAATACATGGGTATCTGGTTATATACTTCAGCCTCCTATGAATTGGGTTGCTGGGAGTTCAGCTTGTCCAGGCAGATGAACTTCAGGATAGCCACTCGACTGTGAAACAAGTTCAGCTCTGTGGTAAATTCATTAAGGCAACACCACCCTGGGTGACCTCTTGGGGAGTCAGTCAATGACTCTGGCACAAAGCAAAACCTTCTGACTCAATCATTTTGAACTCAGCGTGCAAAGGATATAATTATGTTGGCAAAGGCTCAATTATCCTGTTCCTGACATTAACTCTGTTTCTAGTCTTTCCTCATGACCCATCAGGTAGATGTGAAATTGTCTAGCATGTTCTG